AAATAATATCTCATGTGCTCGATTCAATTTCTTACTTGTCTACGTCTGTCAGTTGGCATTTGATTGGTGTAGATGTGTGCCGAAAGTTGGACAAGGATATGACCAACAGGTGCTCTTCGTGCTTTTGACAGTTTTGTTGAACTCAGTTGTGGTTAGCTCAATTTCGTAAACAGCTACGACCGCAAGCAAGATAAGACGGACCACATAAAAGTGCAACGTATCCATCTAGAGAGATAAGGCAAAATGTGCTGCTCCAAATATTATGTGAGCGTGTGATTCATTTGCAAGCGGGATCTGTCGTATCGCTCTGAGATTTGTCGGAATCGGGTCAAGTGCTTCCGGTGACAACGAATCCACTGAGAGGGTTTGGAGGCAGATGTAATTTGTCTTTCGGTTCTTTCCATGAAACGCCATCATGCTTATGCCAGATTTTGTTGATCTAGGATGCAACTGGTCACGCTTACAACATTCATTTGACACGCAATAGGGTCAATTTGAACCCCAAAAATTTCCGGAGTGATTTCCGAGTGGCACGGTGTAGCCGCGTCAAATTTTGATAACTGCAGAAAATTAAATGGCAGATGTTTTGCTCTAACACAGTTAGATGTGCCTTGTATGGTCGCTGACCCACGGCAAGTCAAAATCAGGCCATAGATTCAGCGAAGACAATTTTTGGAAAATCGTTGAATTTGATGCAACAACTTAATGTTAGACGAAGCCACACATCTCTGGCGTAGTTTCTTAGGCAACACAGACGTTCAATTAACACACTCCATTGATCTTAGGCCAAGCATAAAGGTCGGACCAAGGTCAAAACAAATACGCTTTATTACCCTGAAACTTGCTGTATTGATTAGTTGGTGGTACTCATTTTTTGTGTTGAAACAGGAACCGTATAGTACATCTTCCATGGGCTTTTCAAAGGTCAGAAAGGGTTACTGGCCTAAAATGACCCCGGTCAACGTTTTGTTATAAAAGCATACTTTCCCGCGCAATCCTTGACGCTTTTCAAATAAAAAATGAAAATCATTTTTTAGGATATTAGTCATGATAAAAGTTTTATCTTTTTTACATCACAGGACATCACGCGGTTTCTGCAAATCATCACCCTTGCCACTCTTGCCAGTTTCTTTTTGCCTGCCTTTATAAACATAATTTGCTGGTTTTTGAATTTTGTTGAGCACGCACATGCAGCCAAATAATTGCAGCAAGGTTTGCCTGCACACCTACGCATCGGTGGCCAGCGCAGTAGTGTCATCTCGATTTTTACGATGGCTACAAGCATCGTTGTATTTCTTACTGCCTTGTTACTGCCACAGTGCCTCATACACCGCATATACCGCATAACCTCAACCCTTTCCGCAATCCGGTTTGTCAAATGTGCCCTGCTGTGACATTTCCAGAGGCGTCAATCATCGCTGATACGGTATCCGCACATCGTACAACTTCGATTGTTCTCAATCTGTGATCCTACATTTTTTGGCATTAGAGGTATTCACGCCAATCGGCGTTCTCCTACAAACATAGAGCCCAAGCTTTATCAGGGTGCGCACAAGAAAGCAAATGCCTTTTCGACGACTTAATGAGCCCTCAACTTGTTTTACCACGTGCATCATTAATGGTAGCCTATATTGGCTTAAAAATGAACCTTCTCACCAGCGCAAGGCGCTTATCCCTGTACCCCTTTTTACTCCCCGCAGTCAGAAATACATCGATGCTCGGTAATTTGTCACATGGGCCACGGCCCCGAGATTGAATTACTACAAAACCAGCCCACAAGTAGGAAATGTTTCCATAAAAATGCATCGTCTCAATCGCCGACAGATCCAGGAAGAGGGGAAGGGGCAGTTGCGTGCCCCTTCCCCGTCAAGGGGAAGGGGCACGCAACATTGTGCCCCCCCCCCCCTCTAGATATTGGTGCTCCTTTTCCCCAAATCTTTGCACTTTGGCCATTAGATTTTGAAGTTCTTAAAACGTTTTTTATGGGGGAATCCATCCTACTGTACGCAGCCCTAGAAAACAAGGCGGACTAAGCACGCAAGTAGGTAGAGTTTGTTCATTTTCTCCAGGTCATGATAGATCCTGTCAGCTTGAGGCCGAGTTTTTCGGAGAAGACATAGCAGAATGCGCTGAAGTTGGCTACTAAATGCCATCCAAGTCAAGCAGAACCTTGATTTCTAGCTTATTCAAGGCCGGCTAGTCCAGCTGGTGGCTTATGACTAATGCAGAGCTCTTGCTTTGACTGTTATAAAGTAGTACAAAATATCCTTTCATTCAATATGTCTTGGGAATGTAATGTTCATGCATAATGAGCGTCACACATTCAATGACCAACAGAAATGGTATGCACGACGCCGGCGGCGCGTAAAATTAGTTTCGACAATTACGCGTAAAAATTCGTCGATGCATATCGGACTGTTGCACTGAAGCTGATGCGCCAAGAGAAATCGCCATCTTGTGATCTGGCACCTGCGCGTATGAAGCGATTTCGCTCGGTCCATACACGGAAGCACGTAAAACGTCCTGGCGCTCGTAAGCACACGTGGAGCTTTCGGCAACAGAATAATATCCTTCCGATTTCATCAAAAGCGCTCAATGTGGAGGACTCTGGAACGATCAAGAGTTGCCCTGCGATTGCATTGCTATTTAGGTCCGGGACGGTATGGTCAGGGCGCTCGGCCCTGGATCTGTCGGTCTGGGGCTCGGGCCACGGTCACGCCACCACGGCATCCCGTATGAGGTGCGATCAAGGCAGTCGTCTGGGGTTCGAGTCACGGTCACGCCACCACGGCATCCCGTATGAGGTGCGATCAAGGCAGTCGTCTGGGGTTCGGGCCACAGCCCCGCCACCACGGCATCCCGAGAGACGAGAGACGGGACGTAAAGCCCCAAACATTATTGTAAATATTTAGGACCCCCTCAACGGCGTAGACCCTCCTATGATAAGGGAAAACCACAACCAACAGGGACTGCACCTGAGCGATCGAAGGTGCCGCGGCAGGCCAACAAAGATGGTCCCATCAGCAAGGAAGGGTCTTCGGAGCAAGCGAGAAGAACCTAAGACAATCTTGGTGGGCCTCTGAACGATTGCGAGTACCCCGGCAGGCTAACAGATAGAAGCCGGTCAGAAAACAGGACCCTTCGCGCAAAAGCAATAACCCAAGACCAGTGTGCATAAATCAATGCCCTGTGCAATCAAGAGTGCCCGAGCAGGTAAACCGAAAGAGCCTTGACTAGAGCAAAGGGTCCTACGCAAATCAGTTCGAAGGGAAAAAGCCCTCCATCAATGTACAGGGCTCCTGAGCATTGAATGCCTCGGTACGTTGACTCACATCGGCCTATGCAACAGCACAAGGCCTTTCGAGCAAGTGGAAAGAATCCGAGGCTTATAGAAGGGCCCCTGAACAACCGAGTGTAGCCCGGCATATGGCGCACCGGCAATAGCATACAGGGCCTCTCGGGTGAATGTGAATAGGCCGTGGAGGGCCTTTGATCGATGAAGAGTACCCAGCCATGTTAGCAGATAGTAGAAGCCTTCATTCGAATAGGAAGTACCTAAGACCCAATGTGCAGGGCTCCTGAAGAGTCGAGTGTGCCCCAGCAGGTGAAAAGATAGGGCCCCGACAGAAGCGTAGGGCCCTCCATTTGAATAGGAATTACCCAAGAACCAATGCTGAGGACCCCGAACGATGGAGTATGCTCAAGCGGGTTGACAGATGGGGTCTCGTGAAAGGCGTAAGGCCCTTGCAAGCCAGTAGGAAGTATCCAAGGCTGAATGTGATGGGCCTCCGAACGACCGAGTGTGCCCAAGCAGCTCAAAAGATGGGAGAAGGCTTAAAATATTCCCGACAAGAATGTAGAGCCCTCCACTGAAAAAGGAACTATCCAACAACCCAATGTGGAGAGCCCCCGAACGATCGAGTGTGCCCGATGACTAATGCAGAGCTCTTCCTTTGACTGTTATAAAGGAGTACCCGAGTGCATTAACATGTGGGCCCCCGACAAGAGTGTAGACTCCTATGCAAGTGACAGAGAATTGGAAAGGGTCCCAACGACAGCATGGTGCCTTCCGAGAAAATGTAAAGCAACCAAGGGCAACGTGGAAAGTTCCTCATCGATCAAATTGACCTTGCAAGTGGACTTTTGGGGCCCCAAGAGCAGCGTAGGGCCTCTAGACAGCGTAATGAGCCTTAAGCTCTCTCAGTCATCATCCTCTCATTCAGTGAATAATCATTTTTCATGCTTGTGGGCGCGTCACTTTCGCTCGCGACTGTCTTCGTCTGTTCGGCCGGCTTCGGCCCTTTGGAGGCTAGGAACCCCTTCGGAAACCAAGGGGCATGGCTCCATCCCTTCCCTTGATCCGCTCTGTCCTCAATACTTGTGCTAATTCTGACGTGTTCAATGCGAAACAAAATCTGCCGTATCACACAAACTGTTGACGAAGCTCGCATTAATACCGACATCTAGCGACAGCCTTCTCTAACTATAGATTTATATATGACCGCTAGGTGCGGTGGTGTACGAGCCTTTGAGTACCGACACTGTCCAATTTCCTGTCGTTAGTCACACCTTCAGAGGCGGCGTCAGGTTATAATATTAGGAGCATCCATACAATGTTTCAGTAAATCAATGGCGTTGAGGCCTTTACCACTGACTCAGCTTGTGCTGCAATCAGATAGTTTAATTGCCTTTCATGGAGCTGCCCCGGAATCCCGAACCCTATAACCGGTTATGATCACCTTGACGACCTACCCATGCCTGAGGATCGCCGCCGCTTTGAAGGCAGTGTGCGCGTTGCCTCGCCGGACAGGTGCTGAGTAGCGTGTGGAGACTAGGCCGCTGTACCCAGACCGAGATCTCTGCGGCGGCGGATGCGGGGTCGCTGCGACGCTCGTTAGCCACGCGGGCGCTCCCGGCTGGTGGTGCGGCGGTGACGCGGGGCCCGGCGGCGGAACCCTCTGCCCCACCCTCGCCGGCGCTGGCCGCACGTCATAGCGGGGACGGCGGCTGCTGGCGGCGGAGCGTGGTGGCCAGGCTGCGGCGCGGGCGGCACACCAGCGGCGGCGAACCATGGTCGGCACCGCGTTCATCATTCTTGCGGCTACCGCGACGCTGGGTGAGTAACGGTGGCGGCGAAAGGCACCGTTTGCGGACTGCGGGGCGTGGGTACGGCACGGTACTGCGCATCGGCGTGTGAGTCCTGGCTGTCCGTCGGATGCTCGGATCAAAATCGGTGTCTCACACGAAGTGCCTTGCCATGAGCTAGTACTCTGTATGGATGCGCTGAGCAACAACTACACGAAAGCTCAATATCTTTCGAGATCAGTATTTTAAAGAAGCCTGCTTCCCCGGGGTTCAGTCGTGAAATCGCATGCTTGAGGTCGGCGAGAATTATATGCATCCAACAAAATCAGACATCGTTTGGTTAACTTTTAGAACTGACGGACCGTACCATTTCGGGATCTGAATCTAAGGGAATATGGATTCTGAACCTGATTCGAGATTCGAGTAGCTTCCAAACTTGGCATCGAAACGTCGAACTAATGCAATGTACTAAATTAAGACGAGCAAGTCTGGTGAAGGGCTTGCAAACATGCGTTACATTCAGTTTATCATATTTCCCTCATTTCATTTCACATTTAGATGATAGGTTTTTTAGTATTCAGTAAAGCTTTTCGAATTTGATTCCTGCTTTTCACGGTTGGAAAAATCGTTTTCAGAATTTGGGAATCCGCGAAATTCCTATTGTTTAAAACTGGTTCTAATCCTGCGAATCCGAATCCTCAGCTCTACATTGCATTCCACATACTCTGTGTCATGCATATACCATCACACTCTTAAAAAGTATTAGCCGCCTTTCTGGTGTTTATTTGCTGCCCTGTTTTGCTCTTTTCCCGCATGCATTGCCTTTCTTGAAGTTTTGAACTGAAGTGAACAAGCTGTGTCGGTGAAATAGACACAAATAAGATAGCTGTATCATGCCCAGCACTCTTTCCCTGTCATGCCAAGTTTTGATTCGTATCCGTTAACCTAGCAATGGTCCGCGGTTCGGTCTGTGATCCCAATAACAACGCAATGTATTGTCCTGGCTGAAATGAACGGACTGTCGAATATGATAGGTTACAGCTTAATCTGCTGATTAGGTGGAAACGTGCCAGTGGGCAAATTAGCTCCCGCAGGTCTGTTGGTGTGTTCAAAAATGTTCTTATAACTATCGGGTTAAGTCCATCACTTTTTACGAGACCCACCGGCATGTGCTTGAAACAATGGTCCAGCAGTAACTTCATTCGGGCCTCAGCTCTTGCAAGGGACTTCATCAGCGTCTTGAACACGTGACTAAAACTGGTAGAGATGCATATTTGCACAGGTGATTTGTAGGGGTAGGGGGGGGGGGGGGGGGGCGGCAGTTTGTGCCGGCTGCCAGCCGTGAGAGTACAGCGGAACACAAACTTTATGAAGGCTGCGTTGCACTTCGTTGCAAACGGCCTCTTGCTCAGAATTGTGACAAGGAATGTCGGAATACCTGAATGATTCAGATTCAGCAAATCTCCCAAGAAGGGAAACATTACAATATTCGGAAAATACAGTGGAACTGGGCATCTTACGATGCGTTTTCCTTAGACTTCTGTCGAATGCGGGCTGTTTGGCTCTGTCGCACAGCTGTTGGGCCGTGCTTTGGGCCCCCTCCCCAGTGAACTCTCGTCGTGCTGCAGCTCTCTGCGGCGGGCTTAAGCTCCGGCGGGCGCATCTCCACCAGTTTAGAGCGAGGTGTCGGGCTTCATTCCCATGGAACTCCCGGCGTGCTGCAACTGTCTGCGGCGGGCTCAAGCTCCGGCGGGCGCACCCCTACCAGTTTAGGGCGAGGTGTCGGGCTTCCTCCCCAGGGAACTCTCGACATGCTGCAGCTGTGTACAGCGCCTCAGCCTGGCAGCTCTGCTAGTTTGGCGGGAGGTGTCGGGCTACTGACCAGAGCTCAGAATTAATGGTGGTTTCGGTATTATGATATTCGGGTAGGTGTATGGTGATTTTGCTTTTATGTTCCGTATCTCCACCCAGGAGCCCGGATTCACATATGTCTGAATTTATGCCAGCTGTGACTTAACCTTCCAGTGTATTTTGCTTGTGGGTTTGAATGTACATGCCATGTTCAAATTGCTGACTAAGCCTGGGGATAGTCTTTGATGGCTTAAGTTTCAATGGAATACAACGAACAAGCGTCCCTGGCGTCAACCAACATCAATGGCGTCAATTTTTCCCTGGCGTCAACCAACAAACACTTTTGCGGCTTTTAATGATGTCGATCGATGATTTGCTGTTTAAGCCTGGTGATGGCCTTTCATAACTGAAGTATAGCATTTTGGTGCAATACAACGAACAAACCGTGCTTTCGAAGGGCGTTATTTGTACAAACATTTTTGCTGCGTTTAATGATATCGATTTTTGACATCATCCAAGAATATGAGCCTGATATATGTAATCGCTCTTGCCAGGAGTGAAAGCTTGCGTAAAAACTTTTTAATGCAAAACAAGCTTTTGTGCTTAATCAACAGCACGTTCGTGGCAAACTGCTGCCTGTATGCGTACACACACACACACACACACGCACGCGCGCACGCACGCACGCATTCAGGATATATATATATATATATATATATATATATATATATATATATATATATATATATATATATATATAGCCTGTAGGGTTGCATCCCAAATTGCAGCGAATCCTCCGCTTTAATTGTAACTCGTCGCCTAGCGGGCGTCAGTTTTCCCCACGGCCAGCAGTGAGAGGAGGGGGAGGAAGTCGGGACAAAACTTCGATTACCAAATGAAATGGAGAAGGTGAAACGGAAAAACGAAGAACGGAGATAAAAAGCCGAGTTGGAAAATGTCAGCAAGCCAACAAAGATAACCATCGGGGATGGTCGCCGAACTACAGTGTCTGGCAACGAAGTCAAAAGATAGTCCGCCATTGGGTGATCTTTGCTTCAATGACAACAACATAGTTCTGCAGCTAAAAATTATCCATGTGTTTCGGGTTCTGTGTTCTTAAACGATATCCTGACCTTAAGGGTGATACGTCCATTGTTATTAGCAAAACCTATGACACACATGACATGATAGAGAACTGAATAGGATGAACCGAGATGCACGTCATGTTATCGAAATCATGCATGCAGGTATGCAATCATGACGCACGAAAGGCTGCCTTTAGGAAACGCAATTTTCTCCGCCTTCCACGTCCCCTCCGCCCTTAGGTCCCGTGGGGCTAAAGTTGAAAATCTCTTTTAGTGACCTGTTTCCAATAATTTTGTGATGCTTGGTTCGGGAAATGGCCGCCCGTGTCCGAACATCACAACACTTGTTTTGGTCATCACATGTTGAGCGAGTGAGGATATTTACTCAAATATCTCAATATTCTGAATTCGCATATTCAGCTGCACTGCTGATGGCCCGAATCCCATTTGCGCACCGGATTCGCCACGCGCGCCGGTTTCGTGGCCAACGCGATTCGTCACGACCCCGGCCTGATCTCTAACAGAAAACAATCATGAATGCGTTTGAACCGCTCCCCATGCACGTGGGCACGTCCCTGTCCATCACAGGCAGCGGGGCAAGAAATCCGCTGACGTTCAGCGCCGCGTCTGCCGCGAGACAAAGGCTGTCGCCGCGCCGTCGGCGGTGTCCCTCGCGCCACTAATGCCGCGCCGGGAATCATGCGGCACCAGCCATTGTCAGGGAGTTAGCGTTATGGTCGCGCCACGCGGTCCAGTCGTTACGCTAGTCACGCGGGAGACGGAAATGGCGGGCCGCAGTCGCGCTGGCCGCTTAACTCACTCGCCGCTACTGTCAGCCGGTTTCAAAGGCCTGCTGGGTTTTTTTCACATCACACGATGATGCGCCTCACTCGCCTGCTGATCACACGCCTCCGTTACCTGCTGATCACACGCCTCCGTTACCTGCTGATCACACGCCTCAGTTGCCTGCTGATCACACGCCTCAGTTGCCTGCTGATCACACGCCTCAGTTGCCTGCTGATCACACGTCTCAGTTGCCTGCTGATCACACGCCCCCGTTACCTGCTGATCACACGCCTCCGTTACCTGCTGATCCCACGGCAGGAACACGTCACATGCGGCCAAAATCTAGGAGCGAAATTCAACAATCCTGTTAATATGAAAAAATGAAATAAAAACGACACGCTCGATGTGTTCTTTTACTACTTTTGTCAGCACACACACAACTCCAACCATGCGGTAACGAGGAAGGACTGATCAAGCCGCTGGAGCCGAGGCAAGCTGGCAGCACTCAAGGGATACCATCTTTCAGTGAACTTTATGGACTTGATATTTGCTAGTGAATTAGTACTGTGCGCACATTGGCACGCATTTGACAGTAGGCCAGGCTGTTCTGTGCATTGTGTAATAGCAAATAGGTTGGAAGAGCACTCAGCACAGGGCACACGCGATCGTACAAAACGCATGTGTGTACACGCGTACAACGCGGTCTCGACGCTTCGCATTTCGGACGGGCCGCCGCGGCGTTTCGTCCGTCCGTCGTTCGATGTTCACGTCACACCGCTTAAATTTTAAATTGAGTTACACCGCCGTACAGAAGCATAAAGGCAGTATCCCAGAAAGCCCATAGGTGGACGATGCAACGTCCCAACGCAGGTGGTATCGATCTACCGAAAACCAATGTGTAACGGCTTGGTTTTTGTCACTCACAGAAAAATCGGATATGTTTTGAACAACTATAAATCGGATATGTTAAGTAGCAACTGATCATGCGCGCTCACTTATAACAACCTCAGGGAATTGTTACGTGAAATATTTGAGAAATGCGGTAATTCTAAAAGAGGTCTCCGAGACACACTGTTAAAGAATTTGGGGTTTGCGTCCTTTTAGGTCAGGTTAACGTGGCGCCATAAACTTAAGACTGACAGGATGTATTTCCCAACATATATAATTCTCAAGTTGGTAGCATGAATATTTATAGTGCAATTGCTCATAGTTCCAGCATGTGCCGGAGGTGATTATGGTTTGCTTGAAAGGTCAGGTTATCCTCAATCATTTTCAATGGTGTTGCAAGTGTTGTCTTTTAACAAAATAC